TTGTCAAAAAATGTTAAAACACCAGTGTCGCGCCAATTATCGCGTGAAGCCTAATTCTCACTTGCGCGAGATTCGCTCTTTTTTTGACATTGCTTCAATAATTTGACGTTTGATACACGCATAAAACGTAAATCAACAATCAAAACATGTCAGTTTATTGTTGGAATGTCAGTTTTGACAGATGTATGAAATTCTAAATGTCGAGTGCAATGGAAATTGTCGATAATTTTTGGGAAATTTGCCCGGATGCATTTTTAGTTAAAAAGGAGCACCAGTGCTTTTTCAGTGCCCATTTCTGTCAAAAACGCATGAGTGCAAATTTGTCAAAAATTGAAAATATATTTCCATTGCACGAGTTGTACAGGGTGGCCCGTTTAAGAGGGGCCTATACCTTATCTCGAAATCTACGAGGGCTGCAAAAAAAAATTAAATACAAAAGTTGTTTCTAATAAAATTATCTAAATTTTTTTTGCATTGTTTTTGTTGTTACTCTACTATATACAGGGTGGAGAGATAAAATTTAATTTTTTTTAATGAAACACCCTATATATTTCAAAACACTTTCGTATAGCCCTTTGAAAGACAAATCCAACGATATACTTGACATGTGTCTGTGATAAACCGTTTCGAACTTATTAGCGATAATCTTCAGGATCTGGGGTAATTTCAAACAGGCATTATTACGTTACTCATAAACTTTTAAAACTTTTTTTTGCATGCTATTTTTCATAAAATAATGCTCTTCTTTAGACTATTTTGAAATTTGGAATATTTGTTCAAAAAACGCCGTGTTGCCACGTTTCGCAAAATGTTACGCTTTTCAATTTTTTTAAATGGGACCTCCTGTAAATTTTCGAATTTTTGGATAGCCCTTTAAAATACAAATTCAACGATATACTGGAAATGGGTTTGTGATGCACCGTTTCGGCCTTATTGGCGATTATCTTCAGTTCTAGCACCATATTTTATATCATCCCTGTTGAATAAAGAAAATGTCTAATTTTGCAGTAGATTAGCTGAAATAGTGCTCTTTATTATTATTATTCATTCAGAAGTAGTTAAGAAAAGACGTTTAAGTTTTTGTTTTCATTAGTTTCTCGCCTCAATAATGGGGAGAAACTTTGACTACTCTTTGAACAAATGATAATAAAAAAATATTTCGCAAATTATTTAATAATACCTACTGCAATAAACAAGGAAAGCATTGAATTATAAAGTCCAAAATAAAGGTTACTGATTAAGATTATATGAACAAACATTTTGAGAACTTCAACTTCAGGCTAACTATAAAATTAATTTAATTAAATTCTCTGTGTCCGCCATTTTCAACAATACAGGTAATATATCTTACTTGTAAATGTGTTATCGCATTTAACACGTAATTAGGTTGATCTGACAAATATAGCAACAGAGCGTCACGTTTCATTTTTTGTTTTTATCCAAATTTCTCGCCTTTTATATTTTAATAATGGGGAGAAACTTTAACTACTTTTTGAATAAATAATAATAATAAAAAGCACTATTTCATCTAATCTAATGCAAAATTGGACATTGTTTTTTATTCATCAGGGATGACATGAAATATTGTGCTAGAACTGAAGATAATCGCCAATCAGGCCAAAATGGGTGCATCACAGACCCATGTCCAGTATATCGTTGAATTTGTATTTTAAAAGGCTATCCAAAAATTCGAAAATTTACAGGATGTCCCATTTAAAAAAAATTGAAAAGCGTAACATTTTGCTAAATTTCAGTATAGTCTAAAAAAGAGCATCATTTTATAAAAAATATCACGCAAAAAAAAAGTTTCAAAAGTTTATGAGTAACGTAACAATACCTGTTCAAAATTACCCTGAATCCCTGAAGATAATCGCTAATAAGTTCGAAACGGTTTATCACAGACACATGTCCAGTATATTGTTGGATTTGTCTTTCAAAGGGTTATGTAAAAGTGTATTACGATATAGGGTGTTCCATTTAAAAAAATTAAATTTTATCTCTCCACCCTGTATATAGTACAGTAACAACAAAAACAATGAAAAAAAAATGTAGATAATTTTATTAGAAACAACTTTTGTATTAAATTTTTTTTTGCAACCCTTGTAGATTTCGAGATAAGGTATAGACCCCTCTTAAACGGGCCACCCTGTACAGTGTTTCCGCTTCAGTTCGCAACATATGGGAAACTTTTTTATTATCAATTTTACAAAAAAAAGTTATTGTTTATGAAAGTTTCTGCTTCTTGAAAAAATATATAGTATTAAACTATTAAAACTTAGAATAGCATGTACCGGGTGTTCTTTTATCTTTGATATCATTTTGATCACCTGTAACTTTTTTGTTTTCAAAGATATCAAGGTAAACAAAAAAACAAAATGTAGGATTAATAGCCAAGTTTTTTTTCAAGTTACACATGAAACAAAACATCAAAACACTATCAATTTTTCGACATATAAGCCTACATTATATTTTTTTTATTTTGGTTTCATATCGAAGTCTTTTCGACACTAAAAGTAGTTTCGAAAAGAAGCTCTTTGTGACACTCCTTTTTCACTTATCGGAAGTTGGTAACACTGGCTGACTGATGGCCATCGCACTGTCATTCTCGATTTTATAGAAGATTTAGGGCGAGTATTATAAAACTGCTTTGACAGTTAACTTAAAGTTAACTTTTTGAATTACATGTAATTTCAAAAATTAACTTTAAGTTAACTCTCAAAGTAGTTTTATAATACCCGCCCTTAATTCTATATTTGGCATGTAATGTTACCAACCTAAACATGAAATCAGGAAATATGAGAATAAAATTTCCAAGAAAAATTTGTTTTTTTTTAATTAAACAATACCAGAATAGAAAAAATAGTATAAAATATTCGTTTCATAAGACATTTTATCGCACTCGTCCTTTAAAAATCTCGCCTCCGGCTCGTTTTCTAATATAGGGCTCATGCGATAAAATCACGTCTTATGAAGCTTGTATTTTAATAAACTATTTTTAAATGGAACACCCGGTATATTATATGTGTGTACGTTAGAGCATATTATTCTGATTACAATGATATAACACACTTCATATTTTGTTCCACTCGTTTTTGACAAATCGGCAAAAATATATGAAATTTTTATATGCTCTCAATAATTTTCATCCCAAATATCAGACCGCGCCGCCTAATAAGTTTCACTTCGAAAGTTTCATATTTTTGCCGATTTGTCAAAAACGAGTGGACCAAAATATGAAGTGTGCTATATCATTGTAATCAGAATAAGATATTATATCGAACACATATATAATATACAGGGTGTTCCATTTGAAAAAATATAATGTAGGCTTATATGTCAAAAAGTTGATAGTGTTTTGTTTTACGTGTAATTTGAAAAAAAACTTGGCTACTAACCCTACATTTTGTTTTTTTGTTTACCTTGATAACTTCAAAAACAAAAAAGTTACAGGTGATCAGAATGATATCGAAGATAAAAAAACACCCGGTACAGGGGGATTGAAAAGTAGGAAAATATGCAGGGTTTTTTGGTAAAAGTAGAAAAAAAATGGCACATCACTATTTTTTTAAACCTTTGATATTTTTTTCAGATTAAGCAAGTCATATTTCAGTCAAAAGAAACCTTTCGTTATCACAAATCAACCTGCCAAATTTAAAAAAAAAAAAAATGGAAAAATTTTTGAGCTGAAAAAACGATTTTTTCTAAAACTTTGACACCCTGTATCTCAGAAACTACGCATTTCTGGTCACATATTTATGGGAACTTTTTTTGTTAAAATATCGTAAGGAATGACATCCTGAAGTTACGGACCGTACTTAGGAAATACCCTTTATATTTTTCTATTTTTTGACCACTCTGTACATGCTATTTCAACTTTTAATACATAGTTTGATATTATTTTTTCAAGAAGCAGAAACTCTTATAAAGGATAACTTTTTTTCGTAAAATTGATAATAAAAAAGTTTCCCATGTGCTGCGAACTTAAGTAGATACACTGTATTTTATGAGAAAATTTCATGAATCAAAAATTCAAATTTTTTGTCAAAACACCAGTTCTCGCATTAGTTACTATGCAATAATTTACACTAATATAAATTATCACGTAATTCCAATCTGATTGGTTCAAATCAACAATCAAAACATGTCAGTTTATTGTTGGTATATCAGTTTTGACAAATGTATGAAATTCTTATCAAAAAAACGGCCACTAAAATCAAAAATCGACGTATCCGAGATTTTTTGAAAAAAAAAATCAACCTTGTATTTTTGATGGATTTTATTCCTAACCTTCACGTACTAACTGTATTTAACTATGCTATATGATATCCTCTTTCGTTTATTCAATTCTAGTAAAGTTATCTTTGTTCGTTTTGAGTTCATTATGAAATATATTCACCATAATTATTTACACAAACTAATAACTGGCCTTGCAGTCCTCTCGCGTCGTGTAATTTTTACTTACCCCGGTGCGAAATTAAATCCGCCAGAGGCAGCACGTCGCTGCAGCCAAAATTTTTGAATTTCCGTGTTTGCAGGGCTTACAATTTGAGACGAGATCTCAAAAACTACTTAATATTTTTGAGTGAATCAAGAAGATTCGAAAAGATAATAAAATTTAGAACAATGCTCTTGTTTCATTTTTTTTAAAAAGGCGATGGGTTTGGATGTACCGAGCGATAGAAATGATGCTTTTTTTCGAGTATTTAGGTCGTGATATTTTCAATTTGCAATTTTTTTTTCGAAAAACTAAAACAACAGCATTATTCTTTAGATTTTTATCTTTTATTATTTTCTAATCCGGTCAAAAAATATTACAAAATAAGTGAGTTCTCGTCTCAGGAAATTAACCCTTTTTCTCAATTTTTAACGGCTTGTTGTTGGCCTCTTAAACTGAAAACAATATTGTTTGTTGAAAAACTGATGCTCATTGTTGGGATGTAAAATTTATTGTTGAGGTCTTACAAAAATATTGAATTATGTAGAACAACAAATATATTTAGGTACACTTAGCAAACACGATGTACGACTTGGTCGACAAGTACCTGAGGAGACTAGATTCAGAATTGCACAAGTTCAAATGCGAATTGGAAGCAGATAACAAAGGTATTACCGAAGTATTAGAGAAGAGATCCCTGGAAATGGATACTCCCACACCCGTAACCAATTTAAGTCAGAAGGAAAACAGATTTGACAGGTATACAATACAAATTATTCTAGAATCTATTTGCATTTAACGCAACCTGTTTTGAAAACAAGGTTTTCCGCAGAGGTTGAATGCTTATAAATTCATAAAATAACGCAATCTGTGAATTTCAGTGTAAACTCGAACAGTTACTCGAGTCGCTATGCAAGGCCAAGAAGTGAAAGAAGGCGAGATAGCAATTCATCTCTAAGCAGCCAGTTTGCAGAAAAAAGACAAAATATGCAACAGGCATCGAATTCTTCTTTGGCCACTGCATCAGCAGTAACTGCTGCCCCTCTAATTGAACCAACAAGGCTAGCGACTTCTTCAATCCCACAAAGTAGTGTCCCTAGTAATTCTGCGTCGGCTGCAGGAATTTCTTATGGTTTGGGGCACGGACTTGGGGCTGGTACTGCAATTGCTGCTGCTGCGTCACAGGCTATAGCTGCAACTCAGCAGGTACGAATTTGGGAGTGTATTTTTTTGAAATTTCTGGTGCTGATTGATATTATTTTAGATGCAGCAGGGCAGGAGGACTGCTAGTTTGAAAGCATCCTATGAGGCTATTAATACGAGTGGTCATGAGTTTAGAGAACTGGCCGGCGCTGCCCAAACTGCTATTCAAGCCATTCAACAAGATAGTGCCAATAACAGGAAGAAACAAAATAAGTAAGAAAAAGGTCACATTGTATTATTTGCATGGTTATTATTTATTTATTTTTTTCAGGAAATATAGTAGCACTGCTACGTCAACATTGCAACAAATAGTGCCCGCCCAAGTACCACAACCGCTTGTTCAAGAAGTACCCACTGTGGAAATGGATGCCGCGGCCACAGAAGTAACTGAAGGTGAATGGACATACGATCCGAATGAACCACGGTACTGTCTCTGCAACCAGGTATCTTACGGTGATATGGTGGCCTGTGACAACGAAGAGGTAAAAACCTACACAAAAAAAAATCAAGTAAAATTATATGCATTTTTTTGTTTTCAGTGCCCGTCTGAATGGTTTCATTATCCTTGTGTGGGAATTTCAGCTCCTCCCAAAGGAAAATGGTATTGTCCTCAATGTACTACTACAATGAAGAGGCGAGGGGGAAGGAAAAATTGAAATGTAGGATTGCAAATGTTCAGAATCATTCAATGGAAGTTCTGTTTATAGCTGAGTGAGTATTTAATTTTTTTATCTAACACTAAAGTATTGTGTTGAATCTATTTCAAATGTGTGCAAAATAGCTCAGTATTGGGATTTTATTTCTAAATTTTCAAAAATATTGTAGGTAGTTCACCAATACTTATTGTCACAATCTCTCTATGACGGGGGGTGTAGGGTGAATAGATGGAGAGAAACTTGCTCAGTTTTATATAAAAAGGTGTATATTTGCTATGAAGTTATTACATAAATCATCCATGATAAATGCTCTTACGCGGATAGGGCCACTCATTTGACTCTACTCAGAAATGTCAGTTTAATGCTAATGTTACGTTGAATGGTAATCGATGTTTAACTGGTCCTCATCTAAAGGGGCTTTCCTCGGGTAGCGGTACTTGCACTGAATGACGATACAGTTTCCCAGAGGGGCGTTCCCAGGGTGGCGGTACTTGCACTGGGGAGACTTGATTCCAGAGGGGTGTTTCTAGGGTGACGGTACTAACACTGGTTCAAGTCTGTCTGTTGCTCGGCTTGGCCCGCTATTTATATGAATCTATTGCTGAATTGCAATAAACATCCAAATGAATCGGTAAATAAATTAATAAAGTTGAATACGGGGCCCTCCTTTCCTAAGTAGCTAGTTGACATCAATGACATCAAAACACAGATAGACCGAACAATAAACAAAATTTTCGTATGACAACATCTCTCTGTCTCTTTTGGGTCTTTGTGCTATCCCCACCACTGAGAATTCCAAATTTTGTCTTGAAACCCTAAATAATATATTTTTATCCTTTTCTAATTAACGTTTTCAATTTTACTTCTGAACTCAATTTGGCAACAGCAGATTGTAGCAAAACACCGCCCAGAAGCGGCTTGTTGAATGGCAGGCAGGTGTTTGTTGGAGTAGCTAGCTATCTTTATCGCAAACAGGGATTATTTATTAGCGTTAAATAAGAAACGACCGATACGATATTGGTACTCCCAGAATAAAGGGCTCGTATCGAATATTTTCAGTTTATTTATCAATTTGTTATTTTATTTATTCATCCAATTAAATTTCGAGATATATTCACGTGTGGGAGGGGTTTTTTACACCATTTTGAGCAATGATGTCTCCCTACCCCGACCCCGCGAGCAACTCACCTCCCCTGGCCCATGGGTGGTCTTGTCAACACAACAAATAACAGTTTATGAATGGGATGATCCGTCTATCTGTGTTTTGATGTCATTGGTTGACATATGTCCCCCTCCATGAAGCATTGGACCCCAATGCTTGGAAAGAAAAAATATACTGAAATACAATAATATCCTCATCCTTAAATATCCCTTTTTTACCATAATACAATAATATCCTAATTTTTAAATATCCCTGCTTAACAATTATATAGTGTGTCCCGCTTAAGAACTGACCACTATTTAATGAATCAAACCGCAAAAATGGTATATTTTGAGACAAGCTTACTACAAATTTTGGTTGAGGATGTTCTAAAACTATGTTGTATCAAGTTTTGTTGTTTTCAAGGCTTCAAAATATGACATTTTTTCGGTTTGGTCCATTAAATTTTGAAAATTTGTTGTGATCACCCTGTATCAAATTGGAACAAAAATTCGTATATTTGGCTTTTAGACCATTTTAAACAAGAATCTGCTATCAGATTTTTTCTAAAAAAATCCCTAATAGTACTTATTGAAATGTGGACACCCTGTACACCAGTACAGCCGCAGAAATAAAATAAGTGCCAAATTCGAGTAGATATCAGACAAAAAAAAATGAATTGAATCTGTTGAAAAATAAAAATTTTAAAAGGGTGGTCAGTCCGTAAGCGGGACACAGATCTTTTTGAAAACTTGGCAACCAGAATAAACGACCATGATCTACACTTTAAAAATATTTTTGACCATGCGGTGTTGCCGCTTCTACTCTAAACCAGTGGCAACATCGCTATTTTAAATGGAACACCCTGTATGTGATTGCATATTTGAATTCTACGTAAAATTTTGTGCAGATTTCATGTGATATACCCTATACTTAAGTTCAACTGTTTTGGAAATATTGACAGTTGAAAATTGACTGGGTAACAAAAGGTTTGAAAATATCATCAAAGAATTTAAGATGTCTTTGTAATCTTAAAAAATATTTTCCATCTGAATTTATAACAAACTATCTTAATGAGTACAAGAGAATGTATAAGCAAGTCATTAAACTAGCAAAAGGACTACTATAAAAATAGGCTAAGTCGCTCAGGAAACAAGGCTAAAGAAGGGTGGACTATTGTGAGTGAATTAAAAGGAAAATATAATTTGAACAGTAATCAAATTACCATAGATTCAAATATACTCAATGAATATTATTGTAAAGTAGCTAGAGAAATAATGTCTAATTTAAAACCACAAATTGACCCTCTATCTTTCCTACAAAACATAAATATCATAGAGAGTTTTTTTTTACGACATACTGATCTAACAGAACTTAAACATGTTATTAAAAATATACAAAATAAAACCTCCACTGGAATAGATAATATATCAATTAAAATATTTGTGAATTTATCAGATAATAGATTAAACGTTTTGGTAAATGCTATAAATAATTCATTCGACACTGGCGTGTTCCCGCAATGTTTAAAAATAGGTTTAATTACGCCAATATTTAAGGGTGGAGATTTGGAAGAGCCCTCTTCTTATCGACCCATCTCTCTCCTCCCTACTTTCTCTAAAATAATGGAAAAAGTGGTCAAGGATAGAATGATGTCATTCATAAACAAACATAATATTTTAAGGGAGTGCCAGTTTGGATTTCAAACAGCAAAAAGCACTAATGACGCGCTATTTAATTTTTTGCAGAAACTTTATTTAAATCTCAATGATGGAATGGTGGCTTCGGCAGTGTTCTGCGACTTGTCAAAAGCATTTGACTGCGTGAGGCGTGAAATACTGCTGAAAAAACTAGAACATTATGGATTTAGAGGTATTGCGTTGAAATGGATATCTTCGTACTTATCAGAGCAACAACAGCTTGTTAAATGCCAGAACAAAAAGTCAACCATTCAAACCAACTCTTATGGCGTACCACAGGGATCCGTGTTGGGACCACTCCTTTTTTTATTGTATATAAATGACATAGTAAATACAAACATAAGTGGTCATTTCACACTCTTTGCTGATGATACAACAATTCTGTGGGTGGATCAGTACTCTAATCAGCTAGAAGCACGAATACAAGCTGATATATGCAAAATAAAACAATGGTGTGATGCCAATTATTTGTCTTTTAACATCAAAAACACAAATATCATGACTTTCAAGGGCAATATAGCGGACATAACTTTGGGCAATGATGACATAGGATAAACCCAAGTCTCAAAGTTTTTGGATATATATATAGACTCAAAATTGAGATTTTCTGAGCACATAACATAACTAAACAAAAAATTATCATCGGTTTGCTACGCCATAAGGATAGTTAGCAATAATAAGTCATACTGTATCGAGATCTGTGTATTTTGCGCTTGTTCAGTCAAACTTGACTTATGGAGTAGCATTCTGGGGTCATGTCCCTAAACACCTGATTCAATCAGTGTGTATTTGAGATATTTGTGCAAATTAGGGCCCAGAGACCACTGTAAGCCATTCTTTGTGAAGGAAAAAGTATTAACACTCACTTGCCTCTTCATTGTAGAAGTTGCAAGTTTGGTACATAAAAAATATAAAAATGTTCAAGATAGCTCCAAATATGAGGCTCGCAGAAATAATGAACTGCGACTACCGATCCCAAAGAGCTCATTGATTAGGAACTCACTGATATATGAGGGATTAAAAGTTTATAATCACTTACCACAAGATTTCAGAAATATCAACAATGATAAAATATTCTGTAAAACGTTTACTACAATCTAAAGCATACTACACCTTGGAAGAATTTTATAGTGAAACATTTTAAACTGCATGTAATAATTAATATGTGACTGGTTACAACTTTTTTTTATTTTTTTTTTGTTTTTTGTTAACGATTAGGTATTATGTTTGTTTTGCACTATTTAGCTTTTATAAAGTCATTTTTATTGTATCTGTGAATTTTAAATATATTTGTTAAATCTCGAGTTGAGTTTTGAATACACATGTGTATGTTTGTCTGCTTTATTATTATTATTATTATGTATTTGATCTCGATTTGATATACTATTTTCTTTTAATATATACCTACAGCTTTGTTCTTGAGAACTGATTATGTTCTTCGTAACAATAAAGCATATTTTGATTTGATTTGATTTTGACTATTTTCAACTTTGACAGGCTGTAAAACCTAAACGGTTAATTTTAGAGGAAAACCAATTTTACATTCCTATCTCAGATTTTCATAAACTCACTTGACACCAACTTTGAATTCAACTGGAGATTAAATTTAATTGGAATTTTTAATCATGGATTAAATTCAAAGTTGGTGTCAAATGATAGTTTATAAAAATCTAAGATCACAGATAACGTATGTAAATCGTCAGACGTCTAGTTCGTTGCAAAAAGGGGGTCAGACGTCCTCAAAGTTTCTATTTTATGGCATTTTCTTCAAATATATTTGTCAAATACCTGCGAAAATATATTTTGACAGGACACCGAAGAAAATGCCATAAAATAAAAACTTTGAGGACGTCTGACCCCCTTTTTGCAACGAACTAGACGTCTGACGATTTACATACGTTATCTGTGACCTTCAAACAGATAATGTGCAAAATTTCTATAAATTTTGAGCTTTGAGAAAACAGTTTAGATGCTTCTTAAAATTATAACTTTGCCCGCGTCCCAGAGCCAGCTGTCCCGGAACTGTGAGTGCTGACTGTGCACTAGCATTCTAGCACTAAATTACGACCTATTTTGAAAATATCCGCCTTGCGAAAACTCTTGCATGTTTTTGACGCCAGCTCCCCAACTATTTTTCCTGGGATTCTAAAGTGCGTTTTTTTTTTAAAAGATAAAAGTCAAACTGAAATTAGATTGGCAATACAATGTAAAATTGTCAATGCTTTCAAATTTTCCATGTAGAAAAGGCTTGTGTTGCTAACATAGTTACTAAATTTTTGACTTGGGGAATTATCTTTAAAAAAAAAACAGATTTTAGTTGAAGCACTGGATTGCGGGACATACATTGCCTCAATTCCACATGTAATAATAATAATAATAATAGTTATTTATGATATAAGTGTTAAAAGTACATTTTTAAGGCACGCATGTGAAAGTTTGCAGAATGAGCGAAGCGAATTCTGCAATTCACATAAGTGCCTTAAAAATACTTTTAACACAAATATCATACAATATTTTTTCTACAAACGGCAATAACAAGCAATAACCAGTGACAAATTGGATTTTTAAATGAATAATAAATTGGAAGCATCTTTCCTACGTAAAATTATTGAATTTGATATTTGTCAAAAAATTCAAACAACCAGCACCTTGTTTTACAGGTAATAAAATGTCATGTCAGTTTCTTGAAAGTCTGTCGTATGGTCTATCGTGGTCAGTAAGCTTTTTGCTAAAAATGCAACAAAATACACAAGAAAAAGAGGGTTGCATCGATCCCTTGAAAAATATAGAGAAGGCGGCCGATGGAGCTTCCTCAGTTGTTCAAATTTTACCATTAATATTAATGTAAATAATTAAAAATACAAACTTTTTTTGACGTTTGCTTTCAAATTTTGATGTTTCATTTTTAACACTAGTGCCTTAAAGACTTTTAACACTAGTGCAATAAAGTAACATTTTTAATGCTTCGAGGGGGTGTTAAAAATTGGGTGTTAAAAATTGCATTTTTAACACGTTTGTAGAAAAACGTCTTTATTGCACATACAGCATACATGAACAGGTAGGTACATGATATAAATGTATACGCATCACAAAGGATGCAGCTGGCGAAGTTTAGCCACACAGGGCCATTCTTCCACTTAACCAATTACATCCCGAAGATCACAAAGGAAAGCAATCCTAATCCTAACTACAAAATAACAGAGCTTTCAATACTAGATTTATATCATTAAATTAAAGTACTTAACCAGTAATCAAGTACCAAGCAGGAATATCTTATAATTAGCTCGAAGCTTTTTGAAGGTACAGTTCTTGAATCTCGGATCAAGCGCATTGTATAATTTAACAAAATTATAAGAACAAGATTTTTGAAACAATGAAGTCCTATGTCGTGGTACAGTGAATAGTTTTTGATCTCTTAGGCTCACAGTGTGAGCATTAGTTCTATATTGGAATTTGTCGTATAAATAAACCGGTCGCAGGTATCCAGCAATTTTCTAATAAATATAATACTATACAATTTATACATATCATTACATCTCAACCAGCCAATTTGTCTAATATTACTTGATACAGAGTCAAATTTTCTCAAGTTAAAAATGAATCTACAACATGTATTTTGCACATACTGTATTCTATTTTTAGTAACTACATCCAAAAATGCATAATACACAATATAACAATAGCTATACACAGACATGATAAGGGATTCACACAATTTTTTTCTAGTTTTAAAGTTCAAAATAAATCTATTTGAATACAGTAATTTCATTTTGACATAGCTTTTTTGTAACAGTGTTTGAACATGTTTGTTAAATTTCAAATTAATATCTATATATAAGCCTAAGTTTCTAGCGTAATTAGAGAACTGTATTTCATGAGCGCCAATATGAACATTAAGGGAATTCAGGAGATTGTTTCGCTGTTTTTCTGAAGAGAATAGCAGAGCTTCAGTTTTTTCGCAATTAATTTTCAGATTATGCTCATTAGAAAACCGAAATATAGACTCCAAATCCTGGTTCAGTAGGCGTTCAGCCTGTTGGGGATCCGAAGGATCGAATTCCAATAACAAATGTAGCTGCGTGCTGCGTCTCTGTGCAAAATGGTATCTTTATTTGGGTTGAAATGCTGTAGCACAAGTGCGGAAACAAGTTTTTCTTTAAAGATGTTAAATGCTTTGTTTTGTTCATAACCCCATTTAAACCCTATGTTCTTTGTTGTAACTTCATGTAGCGGTCTTGCTATTGATGCAAAATTATGGATAAATTTTCTATAAAAATTACATAATCCTAGAAACCTCTGTACATTTTTAATTTTTTTTGGGCGTCGGGAACCCTTTTATGCAAATTATTTTTTCTTCATCTGGTAATATACCTTGCTCCTTTACTTTGAAGCTTAATATTTTGATTTATTTTTTCAAATATTCGCATTTGCTTGGTTTCAGAGTCAGGTTAGCTTGTCGTAATCGCTGAAAAACTTTCTTTAGTGTTCTTTGAATGTTTGTGAGAATATGATGTCATTAGGTAGATTGGCACTTTTTTCCATTCCATGACCCAAAAAACTTGATCTGCTAGTTATTGGACGGTGGCTGGAGCGTTGCATAATCCAAAACTTAAAACATTAAATTCGTAAGTCCCATGTCCTTGCTCCACGAAGACAGTGTATTGCTTAGACTTCTCTGGAATTCACCTATATCCGGAAAACATATCGAGTGTGCTGAACCATTTTGCATTGCCCAAGTATGACAAGATGTCATCGATCGACAGTAGTGACTATGTTGACTTTTTTATTACTGTGTTAACCTTTCTGTAATCTACACAAAATCTTGTTTTTCCATCTTTTTTCTTAACTAGCACTACAGGGCTGGCCGCGGGCCCATAGAGAGTGGCAAGGCCGAATTACTTCGCTGTCAAGCATTTCCTGAATTTGTTCATCAATAATCTGTCTTCCTTTTTGTGACACTCTGTATGGGCGGCTTTTTATTGGGCGAGCCTCTCCGACGTCTATTATGTGTTCTGTTAAGTTTGTCTTTCCCATAGATCTTGCGAAAAAGTAATATTCTAGAAGAGGTTCTTTGAGTTCATGCTTGTTCTTCTTGTTTGTGATGCTCTCTAACTTATGATCTTCCATTGATACTTCTTCGCTCTCTTCGTCTTTTTCTGCTTGCAACATAAAATTGTGTGCTAGATTAGTCTCTGCTGTTTCTGCCAAAAATGCCATTGTGGTTCTGGCGTATATAGCTACTGGGTTCCTTGTGTTTGATTGTAATATTTGAAATGATGCTACCTTTGTTGGTGTGAATGTGCGTTTTCAGTTCAAGATGATTTTTTGCTAACCAGTCTAAATTATATTTGCATGTATACGTAGTATTATCTTTAATCTCACTAGATTTGCCCGTGTAATCTTTTTTGTACCCAATTTATATGTCTTTTTCTTAGTTTCCGTACCGATTTGCATCAGATGCCTGATTTTTTCTTCCTGCTTTTCTTCTTTAGCTTTGTACCCAGGTTTTTCCCTATAAATGTGAATTTGAACCCTTGAATCTTCAAATAGAAAATATATCATCTGTTTAAATCTTGCCCATTCTTTTTCTAATCCCCATCCTTGTCTTGGAATGACTAATTTTTTTATGGATTTTTTTTTTTTTTGAGATATTGTTCCTCATAAAGGCCCCCACAGACTGCGTTTTTGTTTGACGGTTTTGTTCGACGAGCAAATCTGGTCAAGCAAAAAACGACGGATCGGAGTTGCCCACAGACCTCGGTTTAGTGTGGCGCAGATCAAACATGTTGAAAAGTTTTAAACATAAAATTCTGTAGCTATGCACCACACACCACATAAAACCGTCGTTTTTAAAATTCGTAGCCCCACACACTTCAGATTTGTTGACATATCGAACATATCCGACGGACAAAATCAGGCGAAGCCAGATATTTGCATCGGTTTTGTATGCCAGCAAAAACGACAATTTTTCGCACACACACTTCGGTTTTGCATCATTTTTGCTCGACCTGATTTGCTCGTCGAACAAAACCGTCCAACAAAAACGCAGTCTGTGAGGCCCTTAAGACATTTATACATGTTTTTTGGACTTGGCTTCTCTTTCATCGATTCTCTTGCGAATAGAAAAATAACTGATTTTTTTCTTTGTTTCGACATCTATAGCTCCCAATGGCACATTTCTCTCTGTTTTTTGGAATCATATGCCTATATTTCGTCAAAACTGTTTTTTTATTTGTAGTTTTGGGTTACTCCCACTACTAAAACGGTGTCGTTCGTTAGGGCGTCTATGTTTCCATATTCTTCTTTCAGGAGACCGTTAACCTGATCATCTTTTATGTGAATGTGCTCTCTTATAAACTTGTTGAACTCTTGTAGTATCTAGTCTAAGCTCTCTCGATTTAGTCAGCTGTTTTGTTGTGACTAGACCTGACATGTTGATTTTTTCGTTATTCATTTATCTTAAGGGTGCCTATCTCATGCTGACGATTTAAAATCAGTTTTTCCGTGGGAGCGTTATTTTTGGTCAAAAATTCCATGCCTAGGATTATTGGTTGTGTTAATGATGAAATCACTTTGACGTTTCGTATGCCCTACCATTTTTGACTTCCTGGTATTTCTATTGGAACTTCAATGTTTCCCAAAACTTTTATCTGGTGTCCCCCTGCCGTGACTAGTCATAAAATTGCGCAACTTTGCCATAATTTAAACAACCTCGTATCTCTAAAATAGTTTCCGATATCTCAATGGCGACCCTCGAATTTGGGACACCCTGTTCGTTCATGTGACATTTCCACACAGTTTTTAAGTTTGCATCAATGACATCATGTTTGCATTTAGTTTAGGACCAATAAAACGTGTGTTTCAAGAAATTAGTTTCATACTTAACAATAATTTTTTTTTTTCAGGTAACAATGCAGGAAACAGTTCAGATCCTCTAAGGATGAAATAAACTTTTTTTATGTACGGCTTATGCCATGGGTTTCACATTTTATGAATCGCTACTTTTTACATTATATAATCTTTGAGTCTCATAGTGGATTTCTCCATTTATCGATATTTATTTTTACTATTGATAAATCAAATATGTACCTAATTATGTATACTTTTTATTTTAGGAGATTTATTTAATATTAAAAGAGATGCTTTCTGTACAGGTTAAACTAAATTTAAGAAATTTCATTGGGATTTCATAAATCTTAAAATAAACATGGTTGGTTGATGAGAGCCTGATGAAAAAGACACGGTTTTACCAAATTTCGAGTTTTTCCAGATGTCTGCGGACATTTTTTGAATGTCAAGGCGGCATTTTATTGAGACATATGTAAGTTGTGCAATTCTATCACGATTTAATCAACCTAGGGTGCGATTTTCGAAATCATTCAAGTACAATTCGTACACGAAATTTGACTCACAGCAATGTAAATTAAATGGAGGGCATTCGAAATCGTATAAAATTTCGTATGCGAGAATATTCGAAAATACGACCCCTAGTATATTTTACGGTGTAAGAGATCCCAATAATTGTACTCTGTACAAATAAATGTATTGCCTGGCCACTCTGCCAAAGGAAATTCCAATTTAATTCTGTCAAATGTATAGGTAGATAATAATTACATTATAATGAAAAGTACAAAATGTAAAAAAAAAAAATATTGATGTTCGTTATAGGGGCTAGATGATTTAATTTATTTAATTTTTTTGGTTCTTATTAATTCAAATTTGTTTCAAAAGTTGAAATGTGATTTTGTTATTCCTTATTATTATAGTTTTTTGTTTATAAGAGTGTGAATTTTGGGAATTTCTATACAAATTTATGTCTAAATATATATGTAATAATTTTGTCAAATACATAAATGTACATAATAACTAAGAGTTATTGCAAAAAGCAAAAAAAAGAAAATCATGTTTGTCATAGGGACTAAGTACATATATATTTGGATTCTTTTAATTTTCTTTTGATTTTTAATAATTATTTTTTTTTTGAGGCAGTTATTCATTATTATTATATACTTTTTTTATATTATGGTGACTTTTAGAATACCTATATTAATGTTTTTTTCTAATGCATATACGCTTATTTGTCTTAATTGGTATATTAGTATGTAGTAACACTTTTTATTTCGATTATACAATACTTATAATAAACTGAATATTATTTTGTGTTGTATTTCCATTATTTATTCTTTGTATGCTGTTTGTTTTTCAATCTTGTTAATTACAAAAAATCTATATATTTGAGCTTGAAAGGCGCTTCAACGACCACCCAAAATTTGACAATATTCTCAAGGACTGTTTCAAGAGTCATTATTGAGAGAAAAATTTAGTTTTAAATGAATTTGCATTGGATATCCCTCTGTGATACAATATAGAAGTTTCAATAATTAATCAATGACGGTAATTAGACAATTGAGTTTTTTTATTGACAATGGGGTAGTATACAAGTGATTTTTAACTACTACGTAGTGATATACTCGATGTATCGTACTATTTAGTGTAATCAGTTGCTTTGTTAAAACCGCAATAGCCTGGAATTTTATTTTTTTAATTTCCTCTTAGCCCCGCCCCTACGTGAAAATAAAAGTTCATGACGTAATTAGTTTTTCCAATCTGGCAACAGAGCCGCATTCTTTCGCAAAATATTTGAATCATGATTCCGAGATCCTGATCCGTTCGTTCAGATGGAACATGTTTCATTTATTAGTCCGAAAAAACGCTGTCACTGATGTGTCACTGCCAGCTGGTGCTTTTCCTCTATTCTCTATTTTTTGAGTTGGTTATTATTATATTTTGCAGTTTTTTGATTTGCTACGTTTGTTTTTCTGTGCCTATAATAATGGACGAGCTTACAAAATTTATATTATATATTATTGCAGAAAGCGCAAAAAGTAAACAAGAAATAATTTGAAAGTTGAGGTTAGATTTTCGCGATCGGAACAAACTAATCACAAACAAAAAATGTTCAATATGTTCAGACTTTCTCGGAGCATGATTCGTTAACTGTCATTTGCCAAAATGCGAAAGAACGTGATCACTGGAACATAACGCGTTTTGATCAACTGATCCGGTCCGAAAGAATGCGGCTCAGATCACGGTTTTGAGAACACACAATTTGCACTGACATTGACTGTCAAGAACGAAACATCAAATACTAATCAAACAACGAAAACAAGTCTGTGACAATGTCACATTTCACACGACACCACACGTCCTTGAACTGTTGAAGTCAGCTGTCATTTTGAGCAGTGTTGCCAGATGGTCAGCGGCTTGAATACTATTGGTCGCCGCTGTGGCGGTAAATTCAAATTACAGTTTGTTTTTCTCTGACTAATTCTATAGACACTATGCTGGAAAATAATTTAGTACCCCACTATACCATCACCATTTAGCCTATAGAATAATGTCGAGCAGTTTTTTTACTGATTTTTATACATAGTATACTACCCCATTAGTCTGTGAGGAATGATGAGAACTTCTCATCTTGTGGAACTTTAACGAATTAATACCTACTCAACAATTTAGGTGAAGATCAAAACTATAGTGGATTACGATCTGAATTGATTTTTTTTTCTCAACCAGTGTGCTAGTGGAGTTTAAAAATGATTTTATCGTGTCATTCCGTCGGAACTCTATTGCTAAAATGTAAAACCTATCTTATATCGTTCCTTACGCCTTAAGAAAGCAAAATCGATTGGTCGTCAAAAAATCGTGTGGTGCAGGGGGGTAGTTTGGGGTAGTTTTCCAAAAAATTGCAAATTTTTTTTTTTTCATTTTTCGAATCTACACTACGTGTTCAATGATCTGCAAAAGTTTTATTTCAAAATTCCAAGTAGAAGTATTTTATTTCGAATTTTGAAATGTTTGTACAACACGCATTTATATGGAGTACCTTAATATAAAACAGCTCGCACTGAAACATCAAAATTGCAACATCATTCACACATAGATAACTCAAAAATGCTTATTCTAATCAGAGCTGGGCAAAGCCCTCAGTAAAAGGGCTTGAAGCACTAAGCCCTAAGCCCTCTATCAAAGTGCTTCAATTTCAAGCACAAATTCCTTTTTATTTTCAAAAGTGCTTCACAAGCACAAAGCCCTCAAAGTGCTTTGGGCTTGACAAGCACAAAGCCCTCAAAGTGATTTGAAAAGTGCTTGAAGCACATCAAAAGTGCTTGGGGTGCCTTGAAAAGGGCTTCAAGCTCTTTAAATGTGCTTCAAGCTCTTTAAATGTGCTTGAAGCTCTTTAAATGTGCCTAAAGCACTTTGAATTTGTAATAAAATTCTCAAAGTGGCATAAGCTACCGCGTACACTCATCAATTCAATTCAATTCAATTCAATTCATTTATTCCTTTTTTGATTACATAGTAATATAAGTTTGTCACTAAAAAATATAAAATATAAAAATACAATCAATATAATATAAGCATACACACACATATACCTATATCCATACATACACCCATACTAGAGTTCTTTCAAACACAGACAAGAAATACAAATTTTCCTAATTTACATTATTTTCCTTAGTAGGCCATTAAAATCACACTCAACATGCAGTTTTAAAATTTGTGAAGAGAATCAACAGTAAGCACAGTTATATCCATATCTATTTAATTTATTTGTGTGGTCGAAAAATTCATTTACTGAATAGAATGGATGTTGTGTAAAAAATTGTTTTATTTTCTTTTTGAACTTCCCGTAAACCTCTGACCTTTTCACCTCGCCGGGCACTGCATTGTAAATCTTAACACACACATAGTAGGGACTATCTTCATACAATTTGGTCCTATGCAATGGTGTAATAAGGCTCTGATTATTTCTTGTTTCCTTATTTGAGTTTGTGTCATTGTTTTTTCGAAAAAGGTTTTGATTTTTATAAGTGAAACAGCATATTTTGTACATATATAACGAGTAGACTGTCATTATGCCCAGTCTCCGGAACAGTGGGGCACAGTGCTCCTGATAAGGGGCACAACATGCAGTCCTGATTATTCTCTTCTGAACAACAAATATTCTCTGCATGGTTTCCTTATGGGAGCCCCAAAAGAGGATACCATAAGCCATGCGTGAATGTACATAGGCATAATAAAACTGAATCACAGATCTCCTGCCAACGATGTCTCTTACATTATAAATTGCAAAGTTGGCTGATGTAATTTTCTTGCAGATCTCACTTCCGTGACTCTGCCAGTTCAAGAGCCTAGTTATAGTGAGTCCTAGGAATTTCGTTTCCTCTGCTTGTTGTATGTTTGTTCCATTAATATTAAGAGTTGTGGTAGTTTTATCTTTCTTTTTATTTTGGAAATGAATAAAATTTGTTTTAGTTTGGTTCAAAATTAAATGCTTTTCATCACACCAATTCTGCATTTTCAGTGCAGTGGAATTCGCAAGATCAACAGCCGTTTTTTCATCTTTGTTTGATATTACGCATGTCTTATCATCAGCAAACTGAGCAAGTGAGAGATCAGGGTCATTAAGGACACTGTTTAAATCATTGCAAAAAATGATAAAGAGGAGTGGAGACAAAAGTGACCCTTGCGGGGCGCCTGTGTCCACGGTTGTGAAACTTGAGCGATAAGTGTAATTCACAATATGGTCCTTGCTACCCCTGATCTCCACACATTGTGGCCTATCACCCAAAAACGAATCGACCCACCCAATCAAACAGAATTGGTATAGTAGAGACGAACTTTACATTTCACAGAGTAGCAGTAGTATGTTTTTTTTTGAGATGTAGTTCTGGGGTACTTGGGGTACTACATGGTAATTCAATTTTAAGGTTTTGAAAATGTTCAATGGGGAAAAGTGGAAAAAATCCAGTGATAAAGTTAAATAGGTTACCAATATAAATTAATTATTTATTTGAATAATAAGTTCATTATTTTTTTTTTAAATTCCATTCTAAGCTCAAACCCAAAACCTTCATTGTTAAAAGAGAAAAGACATAAGACGGTTCAAGTTCAAATAATAGAAAAAAAAGGGACAAAATACGATCGAAAATTTTCAAGTGGGGGATAGGTTGAGTGATGGTCAATTCAAATTCCTTTCAAAGTGCTTCAAGCCCTTTTAAAGTGCTTCAAGCCCTTTCAAAGTGCTTCAAGCTCCCAAAAGTGCTTCAAGCCCTCTTAAAGTGCTTCAAGCCCTTTCGAAGGGCTTCAAGCTCCCAAAAGTGCTTCAAGCCCTCTAAAAGTAATTGAAGCTCATTGAAAGGGCTTGAATTACTTTTTTCAATTACAAATTACCAAGCACTTTTCTAAAGTAATTGACTTTGCAAGCCCCAATTACAAATCTATAAAAGGGCTTGAAGCACAGGGCTTTCAAGCCCTCAAAGTGCTTCAAGCACTTTCGCAAGCACAATGCACTCAAGCCCTGCCCAGCTCTCATTCTAATCAAAAAAACACTTTCTATAAACGCTGTAGATCAAAGATCAGAGATTCAAATGCTTTTTTATAATCAAAAATCTGATAAGTCGTTTTGTCAAAAACCTGTAAAATGTGAAAGCATGTCGTGGCGACCGCATTCGGACGCAGAGATGCGAGGATGGTTGAAATTCCCTTGGCATGCGATTGATTCTATGTGGTGCATGGTCCGTATTAGATATCTACCGTTTATGACTTTTTGGTGTTAACTATTGACTGGATTTAAATTTGCATACAACTTGTATTTAACTTAATTCGTAGCTCCAATAATAACGGAGTTTGTAGGTAATTAATAACTTCTGTAATAGTGCTGAATTAATTTGGGGTACCCTATATTGTCTCTTTTGTGTAAGAAGGTATACTTACATACTATATTTTGTGAGTAGGTATTTCTATTATACAGCTGAAAATATCAAATATCAGCTGTGCGTTTTTTTGTCAAAAAAGCTTGTTCGAATCTCATCAAAAATCCCGACAGAAATTAATTGGATGTACGAAGGTCCGTATGAACATTAGTCAAGGCAACGACACTGTATTAGGTCAAAAACACTTCACAGATAGTGAAGAAAATTCTGATTCTTATTGAATGATGTAAGATAGTTTAATAACAATGTTAATAAATTCTTATTAAATATTTATCTCTTTATTAGAGAGATATTGCAAATCAGCCCTAATAAGGCTATAATCTTATTTAGACGCGATAGGTTATTTCCTTACTTCGAATGATAAGTTTAGATATTGCA